TACATTCCATTACCTGACATAGGAGGAAAGAAAGCAAAGAGTACAGAGACATCTTTGGAGAGTTGCAAGGGCAAATCTGATCTTTTTCTTCTATTTAGAAAGCTTTATCCTCTTGTATCTAATCCATTCAAAAAGGGGCTGGCCCTCGGTCCTCCAACCAAACGCCATCTCTGACACTGCTAGGGCTTCCCCTTATTTACTGCAAACATCTGGGGTCATTTGCTTCTTTGTTTTAACAAGAAAAGGCGGAAAGCTTGTCCTGGCATCTAGAATTCTTAGGGTCATAAAACACAAGATAAGCTTTCACAGACAGCTTGTGGAATGCGGGGGGCCTCACCATAAATTTTCAGGAACAAACTTAAATTTAGTAATCTGGTTCAAGGAAAGGTTATCTTCACAAACTTGTTCAAAATAAGAAATATGAGAAAAGGAGAGTATACAACATACCTTTTACACATGCCATAAGATTAACTGTATTAAAGTCTAAAAATAATCATTTTTCTTTAACAATACGTTTAAAGAAATATAACAGGATGTACTGATAAAACAATCTAAATGTTAAATAATGTAGATATTGGTTTAAAAAATTCTTCAGATTTGGAAATTTGGAAGGAATACATAATTTTGAAATTAATCAACAAATCTGGTAAAAAAAAAATTAAAAGTTGCACTTTTTTACTTGAGGAATTTGTTGAATCACTTCATAATTGTGAGTTTAACTAGTTGGAGGTAATGCTACACTTCTCTGCTTACTGTCCTGCTCATAAAAGGTAAACATTATAAACCCACCATTCATTTTCTACACTATTTGGAAAACACAACACAAATGTAATATAACAAAATGTTAACATCAAGCCATAGCCATGTCTGTTTTAGAGACTAGCTCTCTTGTTTTAATGACCTTCTGCTCCTCCATTAATGAGGGGACCCCTCGGGCACGTAAAAAGTTGCCTAATTCTGTCATTTTCCACCAATGTGTCACTAGCCAACTCAAACAACTCACATCTTTGTCAGTGAAGCTGAGTGCTCCACATCTCTTCCTTCATGGTGCCTATCTACATTAAGATCCACAATTCTGAGAAAAAAAAGTCAGAATTCTGGGATTAAAGTCAGAATTCTGAGAAAAAAAGTCTTAATTCTGAGAAAAAAAAGTCAGAATTTTTTTCCCATATTAAACTGAAATAAAATTTAAAAATCACTTAACTCTTTTTTTTTTTCAGTGGCCCTATCCTCTTCCGTAGTCTTGGGCTGATCACCCATCCAATATTTAACTGCTAACTTTCTCTAGACGTTTGCCACGCTAGCCAAAATGTTTTTTGTTTTTTTTTTATATATATATCTCATTTCAGTACAATGCCACCACCAACTAAAAGGCTGAAACAGCAGCAGGACTTACTCAGATTTTTTTTAAAAGAGAAACGTCAGTGTGAGTAACAGTCACCTAACACAACTTGTGTTGAAATTAGCCCGGTCTGGGGCGTGCGTTTTACGAGGATTTTTTATTTTTTTCGTGGTTTTGATTCCTCGAAATGGACAGATGTTATACCTGCCGTGCTCCTGATCGTTAGTTAAAACCACAGGGAGAATTCATTTTAATTCTTAGCAGCAGCGGTCGCATTGGTTGTGCAACCACTAATTAACCAACTAATTAACTTCTGCACCTTTATTTCCTCAAATAAACTGCTGGCTCCTCTTTTTAGACTATAAACAGATTAACACAACATTGACAACTCTGTAGTTTTCTCTGTTCTGTACTGCAAACTGGAATTAAAGGCGCCATTTCTACCAAAGGTCTGGACAGACTGGCGACCTGTCTAGAGTGTACCCCACACCAGCACCTCCCGACCCCACTAAGGGACAGGGTGCACAGAAAATGGAAGGATAGATGGATTTCTACCAAAGGTTTAGAATGCGTTTTTGAACCAGATGCTTCAAAGCGCCTGTCCATAATTCTTCAACACACCGTCAGCTCCCTCTGTCAGTCAACCTATATAAATTCATTTTTGACCATTATTGCAAGTTTGACAAAATAAAACATATCAAACTTTGCACTTCTGTGGCCTACTGAATTGTTTTTAATCAAACTGAAATATTTGATTTTCTAATGCGTATGCGGACACTAAATATGCCAAGGGCTGAAGCCCTTGAAAGACATCTCCCTTTGCTTAATAAAAGACTCCAGTCATTTTGTTTGGTGATATGCTCCCATCTTATGAACAAATGCATTATGTAAATTTTAAATGCATTATTTTTGCAAGACACATTTATAAAGGAATAAAGTAAAAGATTAAATAGCCTTTTTTTTAAGTAGCGTACTTAAGATATGTTTCTGTTGAATATTTACGAATCTCAGATTTCCGACATGGTTCCCCCCCAATTGTAAACATATTCCTACGCCCTTGATCATACCTATTTTTAATTGTAGGGTCCAGGTCCAGTTTCTTCTCAAAAATGGCCACCACCTTTTTACTTACCGTAAATCATGCTCTTCATAATTATCCCTTATCTGGTATTTCATCAATGACCAGATTCATTAATCATTGATTCAGCCAGCCAGCATTTTGTCTTACCATTAATAAACCCTCTCAGTCAAAAGTATTGATTACTGCCCAAAAGTGGAATTTACAATAACTGATTCTAAAATAAAAACTATTTTCCTTAATCTTTTAACTTGATTATTTATTCATTGGGCATTTTATTCTTTCCATCTCAAATAAAAAAACTGAACATGATTATTTGCCTCAAAGATAGTAACGAATCAAATAAACCTGTAACAGGCACTCCTGTGAGTAACTCCCTTATAATCACATTTAAACTTGATGAATCTGAAACAAAAATTATAGTCAGACTGACTTATTTAGCTTTACTTTGTTTTCGTACAGACACCTAAGCTGTTGTGATGAGCTCTGATAGCTTAGCATGAAAAACAGCAGATCCCAGACTGTTCTTTACATCCAGTCTGTTCCTCTGCTTGGTTTGATGTTTGTCACAGCTGAAGATAAACTCAAACATATAAGAAAAACTTACTTTTTGCTTGATAAAAGCTTGTTCAATTTTTTAATTGGGTCCACACAAAGCAAAACAGATCCCTGCCCTATTTTATTTTACTACCTAAACAATAAAATATTTTCATGTACCACTTGCAATGCATTTACTACTAATCATTGACTACTGCGGAATCAATGCTGTAGACTGACTTTTAATTCCTTTAGATTTGTGGCAGACATGGTCATGAAATAGGGTTAAGGGGATGGATTGGGAAGCTGAGGGTCTCGTTTTTGCTTTTAAAGGGATTAAAGGGTTCTGTTGGTTTAGTTAGCCCAATATGTTCAGTATATACTTTCGTTGGTTTGCAGCAGGATACAAAACAGTGACAGTTCCTTTAACTCTTAACTTACCTTTCTTGTCAGTTCTGACTAAAGAAAAAAACATAATGGTTCAGGAGTAATGGCAGTATGGAAAGATAGGCTGGGGCAGTAATGAAGGTGCTGCTCCAGTCTATAATTGTCTAGCTGACTCAAAGAGTAAGGCTCTCAAATTATGGTCTGTCAATAATCTGACCCTTGCACTGACTATAAAGAATTAGATCCCAGATATCTGAATTTATTTCCTCTGTAAATAGGTTAGTCTCAACCTCGGAGATAAAGATGGAGAAGCAGTTTTACTGCAGGGAGCCTCAAAGCTGAGCTACTGCTCCCCATCACCACCAGGAGATAGTTGTGATGTTACAACTTCTCAGAAAATGACAGCGAGGTAAATATAGAAAATATTGGAGCTACTAAAACACCCACAGGCCTTGGAATGCCTACCCTAGAATGACCAGGGGACAAGAATATGGCAAACTGGAAAATATTACCTTCATGGAGCTATACTTGATTAAACCAATCTAAGGGAAGTGAAAGATAAAACAATTGGTATAAATAAATAAGCCTATAAAGACTATGAGTTCTATTTCCTTATCAAAAATATTTAAATGTGAAAACTACATTTCTCTCATCTGGAGTGTATCCATAAGACAGAACGCTTTTAGTCTCACCACTTTGACTAATAAACGACATTCATTGCATTTTATGATAACTAAGATCAAGTTGGAATATATGTCCTTAACTTTTAATCTCTCGATACAACAAGAATACATACAAGTCTTTTTTTTTTTTTTGGGAAAGTTCCTTGAGGCAATTACTGATGTGAACAAGAACTATATAAAATGATTCTCTATAATAAGGGACATGTATCTGTTCATTGATTATCTAGACAAGAGCTTGGTAACTCCAGTCCTCCAAGGTCAATATCCTGGACCTTTTACATGTCATGTTATAGTTCAACACACCTGAATCAAATAACAGTAATAATTGAATTTTATTGATCATTGGAGAAATATACCCCTGCATTTAACCCATCCCCTTGGGGAGCAGTGGCCTGGCATTGTGTGGCACCTAGGAAGCAGTGTAGGGTTAAGGGTCATGCTCAGGAACCCAGAGTGGAGGCTGTTGGGATAAAACCGGGTACTTGCAACTTTCTCAGAGCACAAGCACACTGCTCTAATCACTAGACCAACACTTCACCTCAATTATTATTATTATTATTACCAAATTTTTGGTTTGCCTCCTTAGTATACATTTCCCCCATAGTCCTGTGAATCATCTACTTACTGGATTCAGGTGTGGTAGACTGAGGACACATCTAAAAGTTGTAGCTTTTTGTCCAACGTAACAGTCATACATTTAACAAAATACGACTTCAAATTAGATTTTAAGCCCAAACAACAACAAAAAATATTGTAGAAATTTAATCTAAAAAAACAAATACTTATAAGACAGGCTACTCAAATTTGTTAACTCCAACAAGAGCATTACACAACATTGGCAAATTGTATTAGTCTAAAAAGTTACTGAATTACTATTTATCACCAAGGTCAGTTAGTACTCAAGAATCGTTAAACTAAAATCCAAGAAAACTTTTATTTTAGCCTCCTGAACATTTTTATTTTCCAGGGAAAATCTATCAGGTTTTTCAATTCAATTAAATTTTCAATTCAGTTTATTTATATTTATTCATTTTGAAGGTGATGTTTGATTGTTCTTGTGCGAACCACATGAACTGCTCCACGGTAGCCTCTGCTGACCTTAACTTGTGGTTATTGGGGAACCTCTTAAACCTGTTTGGAACAGGTTCTTCACCGGATTAAAGTCTGCTTTATATGTAGAAAGGCAGCCAGTCAGTTCTTTTGTGCAGTTTTCAGTTGCATCATGGCCCAGAGAAAAATGGGATTTCCTCTGGGTAAGATCATAAGCATACTGCTTTCGTCCTTCATCCTGATGTACACAAACAAAAAGAAGGTAAAATGTGAGTAGGATTTTTAGCGTTTCTTTCCTGTCCTGAAATGAAACAAATACATACTGGTTGGAAGACTAAGATGTCGTTTTTAAAGGCAATCTTGTTGTCATGATGCGAGAATGGAAACTCTCTGGATTGCTATAAAGCAGCAGAAAAAAAGGAGATCACAAATCAAAAACCATTTGATGTTAAAGGTTAATAGGTTCAACAATTCTTTTAATCTCTTAAATTAAGTTGTAACATAGAGACACGAACCTTGAGGTGAACTTTGTATAAAGGATAGTGCTCAAAGTTATAATCCTCAGACGACCATGACTTTACCTCCTTCAGCATAGCCCCAGTGGTTGTAGAAGTTTCACGAGACTTAAGCTCACTTTCTGAACAATCAGGATGGGGAAACTGGAGAGAAACAGATAAAACCTGAAGGCATTGTGTTTAACTATTTTGATGTAATTGGATCATAAAATGGAAAGTTTCTTTCCCATTTGACACCATTGCATGAGGGAGAGAAATGTTTTCGACCTCTTATCATGTTGATTAGTTTGAGATTTCTTCAATGAATGGTTTAAAAACAAACCAAAATCATGATGTCCAACCTAACTGCTAAAATAAACCGGTGACCATGGTAACCTGGAACACTCAATGGTAATCTGATACCAGACCGGCATGAGGCCATAGAGCAGACCTGTTTATCCACCGACAGAAATAGTCTTTTGAGATTTGTTCTGCTGAATAATTGAAGACAATTTGCTGGAAAGCAACACATAAAAAGTTGTTACAAAAAAAGAAAGTTGGAGGAGCATACACAATGTAGACAAAAGGAGTATGCAAGCAACTTGTGTTGGACTTAAAACGTTGAAATCTGTTTCTCAAAAACAAACTATTTAGACATAATAAATCCATAAATTATAAATTAATTAATTCAGCAGTAAATTTCTAATGCTTCTGCACTTTAGCTCAGTTACCCTTTAGAGGGCAAGTTACCGTTTTTGATCACTTGCATACCCCTTACAAATGGAGTCCCCCGCATCCCTTAGTGAGGTCTAGAAGCACAAGATCTATATACGGCCATTCAGCAAAGATACCACTACATGGCTGTACATCTTATTTTGGCCTTTGACCAATTAGATGAGCCCTTGAATAATATATTACCTACTGTAAATTAAGTTGAAAAAAAGTTAACAAGTTAAGAAAAAAAGGTAAAAAGTTAATTGAAAAGTTAATAAGCCCAGTTAACAATTATATTTAGGTTTATTAACTAGAAAAATTGTAAGTGCCAGTATCAGCATCAATGCCTCTATGGTTATGTTGTACCAAAAAAAAAAAAAAAAAATAGTTTCTTTCACTCTCAGAGAGTTTTTCATGGATTTCTTATAGAACCATTTTTGTTATTTTTCTTAATATTTTTGGTCAATTTGGCATTTCTAACATTAATTTTTGCCATCAAAATATCAATATTTTTCTAATGTTACAAAGGTATAAAGGTCTTGTCCTGGATTCCGCTAACACTATTGGCCTGAAATTTAGGTTTTCAAAGTATTTCACTGAGTGCCCTATAAAAGTTTAACATCAAAGTTCAAAATGTATTCAGAGCTTTAAGACTCCAGGGGGATCTCTGTTTGACTATAGGCAGGACCGAAGGACGCTGAGCTCATACCTCCCTTGAATCTATCAAAAAATTAGTACACTTCATTGGCTCACTCTAGACTTCCATTTGTTTAACCCTCCTCCTGACCAAGCAACTTTGATAGCAAGCTTGTATAGAAATTCATTAATAACATTATTTTTATTATATTTATGGCAAATATACACACAGTGCAACAAAGAGTGCACAGACATTAACCCCATTCAAGGTCTGGTGTCAGATAATTAGGGCGTTAGCAGAACTCTGGAGAATTTGACTGCATACAGAGGAGCTAGTTCAGCTATTTGAATAAGGTCAACCAAATTTTAATCCAGTGCATTTTTTTTTACTTCTGCTCGAGTAATATAACCTTGATGTAACACTACTTCACTCCTTATGAACAGTTTAAAGCTGCTCTACTGTACCCTGCTTGCAATTTCTCTGAATGACAATCATTTTTAACGCAGTGAATCGGTTACAGGTGTATGGTCTGAATGACACTTCTGGTTTCTACACAAGCTGTGCTGGTATTTTCCATCTGCTAAGCTTGTTTTGAGCCCAGTGGATAAAAAAAAATATATACCTTGCAGACAAAGGAGATTTGGTAATGTGTTTCTTTTGCCGAAATGTGATATGACTGTATACCTATATGACCTGATGTTCATAAGGACAATAAAAGCTAGTATGTTGAGTGAAGATCTCTTATGCATGTCTGACTGTAGTACAAACAATCAGGTAAAATTCTAAGAATATATATGTCATATTTCTTTTAATGTATAATTTTATGCTTGCTGTGTTATTCATACATCAAGAATTTCGTAAATGTATTGCTTTGTGGAAAGGAGACAGACAAGATTATTCTTCATGCAGATTTGTTTTTATGTTTTTATAAAATATATATATATAAATTAATTTAAAAACCCTCAAAAATGTTAATATCCAAGCATAGAAATACCCACTACATATATAGTAGTGACTGAGGGAGAAGCGTGAAAAACTTTTTTTTTTTTCTTCCCTTTAATTGGGGAAATATTCATAAAGATATTACATGAAAGCCAAATATTATTAAAAAACATATATGGACATCATATTAGTCCAAAGGCCCAATATGCATGGCAACAAAAAAAAAAGAGCTCTGGTAATTTCATAAGAATGAACATTTGCATGTTTTTTTTATTTATTGCCTCAATTCATAGATTACCTAAAAATGCTTGTAAAAACTTTTGCTAAAGATTCAGCAGGAATTTTAGCCATTGTTAAAAAAAATAATTTAAGATGGAAGGCAGAAAAATGAATATCACAAACAGTTAAGTTAACATTCCTTTATTTTTTTTTTACTACTTCCAAATAAAAACACTAGAATATAATAAATACTTGGGACTGGGTTTAGTTTTTTCTGCTTTACAAGAGATGGTTCATTTTACAATAACAAAAACCAGACATTTAGCACAAACAAAAATCAATCTGTGTTATGCCTGAAAAAAAAAAAAAAAAAAAGTATAACAAAAATAGTATTGGCCAGATGATCCAAATGACAGGTTGATTATTCATCCATAATGTAATTCTACAACATATTTGGATTAAGAAATCAATTTTATAGCTCATGGTTATTATTTTAACACAATATAAAATAAAATAAAATAATAAAGATCATTTTGTCAACATTTGGTTTCCTTTCAACAAGAACAGATCAATAAATGTGAATACAAGGATGTCTAAGATCCCAGGGCGATACCAGACTTTTTCTGACGCAGCGAAGCTGTTTTTATCTGAACATCCTCTGTAGCGTTACAGACTCCTGAGAACCAGATCAGAAAATTAACAAGTTATAACAAACATTAGGAAACCATGTAGAATCAGTCTACAATTTTCAATTGCTCTTTAAAATAATATAATTTTATTACCCTGCAAAGGTATGACTACCTATGTATTTTCGTTAACCACTAAAGGGTTAATTAATTGATGCTATATTTTTTTGAAGAGTAAAACAATGTTATTTTTGTTGTGTTAGTGCAATTAGATTATTCTCTGTATCAGGGATCTACAAAAAAAAAATGAGATAAGACATCAGAATAGCAAAAGCTTGAATAATTATTTGGGTGTCCTTTACCACTTGATGCATACCGTTAATCCTCTAATATAGGACAGGGACTTTATTTCACTCAGGTACATCTTGGTCCAAGCCATTATTGGAAGGAGGCCAGAATTAGACAGGCCTCTATTTCTATTTGATCAAAACAGACTACCAGTGGAATGAACAAATACAAGATTTTGTGTCTCTTTGAACCTATAAAATACTAGTTTCTTTTATAGAAAAAGTACAGTTACCATAACGGTATACAGAAGATTATTCAGACATCTTCCAGCAGCTGCAATTTTTCTGCACAGCAATACGAAAAAAAAAAAAGGAAAAACAAAGAGAATGGAATCTTGGCCAAACTGAATTGTAAAATAAAGTTTAAAAAAATAGAATGGAAACTGTTCTGCGATCACAGCGAATTTTTATTTGAGGCAGGCTAAGTGGAAGTAGGCTACCAGTATCATATATATCAAGGGAAATTCAGAACAACGAAGGCCAACGAAATTCTGTCATTTTAACGCTGCCTGGTTACCATCAGACCTACCGGTAATCCCATTTGTCGTTCAGATCAGAACGATTGTGTAAGGCCACTACGATCTCTGTGTAGGGATGGGACTTCCCATGCTAATGGCTTGGATTTGTTAGCAAACATTGCCCCTCTGTCGTACATGTATGTTACTATCACAAGTTGTTGAGGAATGCCCAGGAACATCGTTGGTTCTAATTGTAGCCCCGGCCTGTATACGAGTCCGGCCATTATTTACCTCCACCGACAGAGAGACTGGCCACTATTAGAGACCTGGCCACTAATGGAATACAGACCAATATTAGAGGATTTACGGTATAATAACAAAATTCAAACTTCTTGTGAGTGATATCTAGGTGTGATATTTAATAGAGAATTCTTACTCTGAATGACTGACAGAGACGTTCCTTTTGCACCATCCATAGTCTCTGTAAATAAGGGAGTAAACTGTGATTCCCTTTCCTGGCGGAAATGCTTCTTCAGCCGTTTGCTCAGATGTTGCCACCTGGTAAAATGAAGAAAAAAAAAAAAAATTTTTAGAAAAAAAATTAACCAAATGATTATACGTCAAGTTTACTGTAAATCACAAAACTGATTCTACTTTTCTGATATGTCGTTGTGTTTATTAAGTCGTTCTGCTTCTGCACTCTTTTCCTCCATCCATCGCTGCACAAGTTGCTCGTTGTCTCTCTGAGCCTGCTCCAAAGCCTCCTTTAGTTGGGTCTGCTCCCATCTCAGGGCTGTCAGCTCTTTGGACTGACACTCCACGGTGAACTCCAACTCTATAAGGGTTGCCTTTAAATCTTTTTTCGCTTTAGCCAGATTGAGTGCCTCTTGGTGGTACTGGGACACACTGGAACATTAGAAATGTTAAAATATTCAGTGATCTCCTTGCAGGACTGTGACTCGGCACTTTAAGATATCAGATTTCATGGTACAAGTCAAAAACATAAGAGCAGCCTTTTTCCCCAATTTGTTGCAGACGTCATAGCATTGCACAATGCTATGCTTCTGATTTGTTCACTTTTTTCTATCCAGCATCGAAAACAAACACAAGCTGATCCAGAACATATTTTTCTTTAAAATTGGAAGTTTTCACAGAGAAAATACCAGATGATAATATTCTTATCATAAATTCGGTGGAAATCTGGAAAACTAAATATGGTTTTCTAAACCATAAAGAAATGTTGTGATTAAATAAAGGTGGGGTCATTCTGCCAACTGGTAGTAACTTTGGATTATTTACAGTTCAGTTTGAATTGAAAGAGCAGAACAGCCAAACATACAGTCCTCTGGCCACATGTAAGCCACGTTAAGTTTGTTAGTTAATCATTAGGAAGAATTTAAACAGTATCATTCTTCTAGAGACATTCAATTCAGCCTAAAGTATAAATATTATAAAAATATAGATTTTCTGAACAGAACCTTTCATGCAGTTTATTATATGGAGACAAATAAGCTTTCAAATAATTGGACGTATTTGGTACTAATCATATGTTTGATAAGATTGACACAACTTTAATAGTAACTGATAAAATTTGGTAGGCAGATAAGTATCCGCCCAGAAATTTAACTTCATCACTACTCTAAGATAAAGTTTATTAATTTCAGGGTCGATCATTTATTTCCATACATGTCTGTTTGTCTGATAGAATCTATTTGGGAATTGACAGGCTGAAAAATTACCGTGAGCGCCAGTATTGTAGCTCAGCTTCTTTCACATACAAGACCGAGGTCATGTCAGAGACGGTTTGAGATAGCTGGGGAGAAAACAGAAGGGATTGACTGATTGGATTATGGGAAGATAGAAGCAGTTGAAAGGTCAACAAATTGCACAAATCGAAC